GAGATGGAACCTCACAGAGGAAGGAACCCACAGAAGAAATAGGCAAGGGGCCTATTTCAGGTACAGGGTCAATGGATGCCCCAGGGGCAAAGAAGCCACCAGGACATGGAGTAGAGAAAAAAGGCTAGACAATCTGGGCTCTGGTTCTCCTCCGCACTCTCCTCTGGAAAAGCTGTAAGTCTGGGTGTGTGTCCTGATATCAGCAAGAACCAGCAGGAAAGAACCTGTCCTCTCCGAACCAGGAACACCCTGCCCTCCCATTGCAGTGGCTTCTGACCTGCATCCTCCTGGAGGCTGGAAAACCACAGTTCCAACTGTTTGGTGCTGGAGGAAAAAGGAGAGGAAAATTCAGGAAGGAGGTGGGGAGTGAGGGATGACGCTGAAGAGGGGAGGCATCTGGAAACCTCTGTGCCCTATCCACGATGTGGATCCAAGGCCGAAGAGCAGTGGGGAAAAGTCCACTCACTTGAGGAGGCCCAAGATGAAAGCGTGGAAGCGGCTGCGACTGCTACTCAGCGGGGCCAGTCTGCTGACCTGGCTGTACAGGGTCCCCATGGAGTGTGGGCAGGAACCTGAGGACGAGGCTGCGGTCAGCCAGGTCCAGGCCCCAGGTCCAGGCCCTGCTCCCATCGATCCCACTCCCTCACAGCTCACCTGGCTTCACAGACGCCTCCACCACACTCCAAGGGCTGCTCCTGCGCTGCCCGGTGATGAGGTCCTTCCGGAATGGCTTCAGTCCATCGGCCACCAGAGCATGGAGGGCCGGGCAGAGGGTGCTCAGCACCAGATGCCCCACATCCGGGCTCAGCCGGCTATCCCCCAACTGGGCCTGGGGACAGAAGAAGGGCTAGCCACTGCTAGTCAAGTGTTCGCGTGCCCTTTTACCTCCCTCAAAATTAACTCACCTTCTGAACCAAGTTCCGAGCAGCCCCAAAATGCGAGATGATTTTGTCCACAGAAGCACTGACAGCTATCAAGAGACCTGGGTGGAGATGGAAGACACATGAAAGCCTCTGGTGGGGGTTGGGGAGGGGGGCACGGATAGCTGGAGACCGAGGACAGGCTGATCTTCAGAAGGTAGGAAGGGCGAACTACCTTTCTTTTGCTCCTGCAGCTGGCCAGTCCCACTCTGGGCTTCTGCCATCCACAGCCGCTGGGCCCCGGGAACACCGGCAAACGACCAGGAACTACGTACTATGTAAGGGAAGAAGACGCGGTGACGCTTTCTTACCAAGGGTTACAAGGGACGCCGGCTCCCTTGGTCTCGTGGTTTGAGAGTCACGGGAGAAAGAACACAGCCACCTGGGGCGTAGAGCAGAATGTGTAGTGGTAGACAAACCTCAGCCCTTGCCACCCCCACCTCGGTTCCCATTGCCCTTCCTCTCCGGGAAGTTGGAGAGCCACACCGAACAGCTGTGCCTTTAAGTAGGGAGATGACTGGGGGAGGAAATTGAGGGCTGTATCCACTCTGAGCACGTGAGAAGCCTCGACCAATGGAAAGACAGACAGGAAAGGGTGGAGAGTCTTGGGGAACCCAAGTAGTCACCTTGCACCTTGTCAAATGCAAGGCTCCAGCTTCACCCTACTTGGGGGCGGGATTCGTGGAGGAGGTGTGGCTAGAACCTCCTGGGAGAGGACTGTGGGTCGGAACCACGGCCGCGAGAACTTCCCTAGCAGAGGAATTCCACAGAGGGTGTGACCCCAGGTCCCTAACAATGGACCCCCTAAGCTGGGCTGGAGACCCAGTGGAGTCGGCTGTTCAGCAAGGAGAGCAGTCACGCTCCTCACCCCCAGAACGTGGAACAGGGCCAGCCTTCCCGGAGCCAACTCCGAGGGCGAGATCTAGCCGGGCACCCTAGAAAAAGGCTAAAATGCAGGCAGACTGGCCCAGGACAGGAGGGGCGGCGGGCCGAGACGTGGCCCGCGGGGCTGGCCCAGGTCCGTCTTACATTGCCTGGGCGGAGGCGGTGGCCTTCTGGTCCAGCGAGGGGCGATCGGAGGACGCGGTGGTGTTGGCAGAGGGGGGGCGGGAACCTGGCGGGGTGGGGGCGCCGCGGCGGGGAAGGTGCTACTTCTGGGGAAGAGCGGGGATAGCAGCAAGGCCAGCTCGGGGCTGGCCAGGCAAGGCAAGGCCCCCCGCGTGGGAGGAGAATAGGCTCCCACCGGGGATAGCCGCACAGGCAGCAGATGCTCCTCGGGGGGACTCCCTGGCCCCAGCAGCTGCAACCGGGAATTGGGCCACCCGGTTAGAGGCGTCAAGAGCAGGGACCTGGGTGCGCCCGCGCCCCCACCCTCCAACAGGGGGCGCCCGTCGGCCGAGAACCGGAAAACCGGGGGCCGAGGGAATAGCGGGGGACCGGCTGCAGGCGGGATTGGCGGGGCCAGGTGCGGGGAATGTGGGGGAAGGAGGGTAGCGGGGCGACAGCCAGGCAAGGAGGGGCGGGAGAAAGAGGAGCAAAGAGTTAGTCCCTTCACTCCAAGACCCACCCAGTTTCCCTTTCCCCGGAGCGCGCCCTGGCCTTGGGGCAGGGAGGACAGCGCAGAAGGAGGGGACGAGGGCGGGCTCAGGACCCGCCCTCCTATGATCTGCGCTTCTTACCCACGGCGTGAGCGCGTGGCTCCTCTGGCTCCTGCGCTGCGGGGGCCTCCTCACCCACGGCGGGGCTGCCAGCCCTGCCCTCCTCCGTCAGCCCCTCGGCGATGGGCTGCAGCCCAAGTCGATTCTTCTTCCTCCGCGGAGGGACGGGAGGGGGAGGCGGCCGAGGCGGGACCAAAGCCCACCCAGCCGGAGGGTCCCTGGGCGGGACTGGCGGTGGCTGGGCTCGGCTTCGAGACCGGAGTTCCTTAAAGGTGGTGACTTCTCGCGGGGGTGCCAAAGAACCTCCCAGGGACCCAGTCGGCGGGAGCTCTGTGTCAGGCGAGAAGACTATGAGCCAGTCGCTGCGATCTTTCTTGGCCTGCGGCACAAGGGGCAGCCCCGGACCCCGCTTGCGCTTCTGGGCCAGCTCGTGGAAGGACGTGATTGTCCGATGGGGTACCGGCTCCTGGCTGACGTCACCTTTCCATCCCCCATCAGTTTTCCCTGCATCTATTTTCGAACCAGAATTGGTGTTCAAACAAGAAGCCAATTTCCCAGATTCTGTTTTCAAGCTCGAGTTTGTATTTTCATCGATTTTCCAACCAGAGTCACTGTTCTCAATGGCTTTCCATCCAGCTTCAGTTTTCTCTGTGTCAATTTTCCAAATGGGGTTAATTTTCCAACTGGGCTCTGCTTTTCCTGCGTCAATTCTTCCATCTTCGGTCTCTGAGAGCTCAGAGGTAGCAAGATCCTGTTCCCCACTGTCGTCTTCCTCCTCCAGACCCGGGGAAGGTAGGTCCTGGCAGGTTGTCAGGGCGTTGCAGTTGGAGTCCAGGCCAGGTCCGGATGGGGAAGATATTCCGGAGCAAGAATCCGGAGAGCAGCAAAAGCTGTCCGGAGAGCAGGTGCCAGGGTCCGCTGTAGCCAAAGGAGAGCCCGGCTCCAAGGGAAAGATGCTGGACTCGGGGTGGGCAGCCTCATTGCCAGGCAGGTCGCGAGAGTAGACTGACACTGGGGACTCGGGGCTAAGATCTGAGCAGGAGCTGAGAGAAGAGGAGCATCCGGGATCAGAAGGCGAGGCGGCCTCTTCATCTTCCTGGAAAGGGTCCTGCTGGTTTTCTATGCTAGGCCCGTGCTCCTGGCAGCATCGGCAGGGCACAGCTGGACTGTTGGAGTTGGCATCCACCAGGGTCCCGCTGCAGGGCCCCCTGCTTTCCTTGCCCCCTGTGTCTCCTGGAGGCGGGGGTGTGCTCAGAGGCCCCTCTCGTAGTTCAGGACGGCGGGACAAGTGCAGGCCCAGGGAGACATGCTGGAGGTGGATGTGATTGAGGTTGCAGAGTAAAGCCCGCTGAGGGGACAGCATGGTGCTGAGGACGAAGGATGCCTTCCAGAGAACCAAGAAGATCCAGCCTCTCACATCCACCTACCTGGCAATTCAGGTGCAGACCTAGAAGACAAGTATGGTTGAAACCCAGATACTGCGATCGTGCTAAGGGCACTGGAGGTGATTGAGGACTAGAGCAGACCTGGGAAGGATCTGCCTGCCTTGGGAGATATTTAAATGAGATTCAAATCACCAAGAACAGCCCATTAGTTTCCTCTGCAGTATTTGCTGGTGGAGTCGAACATAACCTCCAGGGAACAGAGAAAGGAGGGTCATCAGAAAATGCCGGTGTGCGCTCTGATCTTCGAGGGGGTGCGGGGCTTGAAAAAGAGTAGGGCCCAGAATAGACCCCAATCCTTTCAAAGCAAGCTCTTCCCTCCAGTCAACCCTCTCCCGGAGGAAGGAGACCCCGCCCGGATGCTCTAGTCAGGTGAACGGTGAGGAACAAGGCGAAGGTTTGTAAGCGCAGGAGAGGGGTCTGGGCCGGAGGATGAGAAAGCATTCAGCTGGTCAGCTCTGCATCTGCCCCAGTCCCAGTCCCTCCAGCTCTAGCCTGCAGCCTGCGTGCCCTCACCGGCTTGCGACAGCAAGGTTTATCCACTCGCTGTGTTGTCTCTATCTTCCAGCCACCACCCACCCCTTCTTTATTTAGCTTCACAGCTCCCCTCCCATGTCCCCATCCATCCGTCCACACCCATAGATCGAGACCTCCTCACCCACGGTCCTCCTGGAATCGACCGGTCCTCGGGTTTGTCTGCAACCCCGCCCAGCCGGGAACAGAGCAAAGGGGAGGGGTGCCGGCAAAGCCCACTGTGGCTGCGCAGCCGCACCCCTTCACGCATGGGCGTGGCATAGCCTAGGCCCGCCCCCCCACTTCCACACGGGGCCTGATGGTGCGCCTGCGTCACCCATCCAGGCTGCTGCAGCTTTGGCTATAAGCAAACTCAGATGCCAACCTGGCCTCCAAGTTACCACCTTCCACCCCTCCATTATAGACAAAGCCGGACTCGTGATTGGTGCAAGCATAAAACCACAGGATTCTGTACAATAATTTATTGAGATCCCTTCCCTCAAAGCCTTTGCAAGCTCGAGGTCACTTTTTCCGCTTGTAGATCTTCTTTGCTAGTTCCAGGAAAATGGCTGGGGGCAGCGGTGCAGAGTACTGCTCCACGAGGCTCTGGAGGCGGCTGTAGCTGTCCTCCTCGTACTTTAAGAACACAGCTGGCAGATCCAGCGCTTCATACAGCGCTTTCACCTGTGCCACCTTCTCTGGGTCCTTCTGCCCATAGTTCTCCTGGAAGCAGGAAAACAGCTTTACTTGGCCAGGTCCAAAGGATCCGACAAATCATTCATACATTCCAGAACACTGGGAAAACCATTCACTCCACTTTGTTGTTTCATTATGTAGGCCTGCCTCAGACTCTCCTGCCTCCAACGTGTCTCTGGGATGCGAGAGTATTGCCTCCCCGACACCCGTGCTCAGGTCCTGGCTCAGAATTACCATTTCGCTATTCTATGCTGTCTCGGCCTTGGCACTGCAGAGGGTTACTGGGCACTGGGTGTTGTCTGGGAAGAGGGTCTAGAACCTTCCCTGGCTTCTCGGTTAGCAGCCTTCAGCACATACATCCAACCGCACTGGGGCTGCCAAATGTCACATCTGACCCGAGGAGAGGACAAGCCAACCCCCAGGGCCCTCTGGGCACCTCTAAGATCTGACGCTGTTGCGGAGTGGCTCGTAGCAGACACTGAACCACCAGCCAGCTGCATTTGTTGTCCTGGATGTCAGTGCCGACCTTTCCAGTCACACTGGGGTCACCGAAGAGATCAAGGTAGTCGTCCTGGATCTGAAAGAACTCGCCCATCTCCAGCAGGATCTTCTTGGCATTGGCATGTTCCTTCTCCCCATCAATGCCTGCCTGCAAGGGAACAGCTGAGGCAGCGGGACCAGGCCCCTGCCCCTCCCAATGCCTCCTGCAGGCCACTGGCTAGACCCTGTGAGGTGCCACCATGACAGCTACACTTCCACATTTTTTGGCTATCTCCTTCTTACAATACGAAACGAAAACTTGAAGAGCAAGGTCAGGATGGACCATGAACCCGACCCACCACCTCCAAGCCTAGTCCCTTACCTCGAGCTTCAATTCCCCTCTGCCCTTCCATCAGATGCAGGCCTCCCTCTGCTCATCTTCCAGTTCCATCTTAGGCCCCATCAGAGGGACTGAGTGGCTTGAAGCCATCCAGTCATACGATACTCAGGGCTCCACCCCAGAGCTCACAGGAGAAACGGTGATGCTGACCCTGACTTACCATGTACATGGCAGCCGCCACAGGCAGGTAGAAAGAATAGAAAGCTGTCTTGTACTTGACAATAGATTTGTACCTGAGCCAGGGGAGAAGACACATTCATGAGAGCAAGGCCCACCCTGAGGCCCTTACCACCCAGATACGGGTACCACTGGCCCTCACCTCTTTTCAGTGTATCTACCCAGATCCACATGGCCCTGGGGTGCTGTTATGAGGTCAAGGGTCTGCCCAATCTCTGTCTGATAGGAGCTCTACAAAGCAAGGGTAACAGATGGTTTCTAGGCCAGGCTTTCTCTAGAGATGGAAAACACTGGCTTCCTGGGCCATACCCCAACAGTTGAAACTATACAGTCAGGCAACAGGAGAGACTCCAGGCTCACAGCACACCACACCCTTCCCAGGCCACCTTAGCAGAGCCAATGAGCCCGTGCCACAGAGGGTAGAGCCCGGGAGACAGCCACAGGGCACCTGCAGAAAGAGATCCAGCAGGTTCAGGTAGTAGGGCTGCTCCCTGCAGTACAACTTCAGCAGGCGGTAGATGCAGGCTTCCAGAAGCAGAGCATCATTGACAGCATCCAAGCCTATGCCTGGCTTCTGGTACCAGCAGATCTGTCCACGTCGAGTGAGAGAAGAATCCATGATGTCATCTGACACAAGAAAGAAAGCCTGGAGCTGGGAGAAAGAGGGGAGTAAGGCAAAGCTCCCAGGGCCTGCTCGCAGAGACAGCTGCCACTCTGGCCATCGCTGTACAGGTGGGAAAGTCAGTGTGGGGACCCTGACAAGTTACAGGACCTTCTCTCAGATGCCACATGCTGATGGACTAAAATAGAGCTATGCCCCCTCTAATCTGCTCTAAGACACCCCTGCTAGCAGGAAGAGCAAAACTTCAATGAATTTTTGTCCAAGTCAGTGACTGCATTATTGAGTTTTAGGCAAACCTGACAAGTGATAGTCATTTGGGAAGAGGGAGGGACCCTCAAGTGAAAAAGGTGTCCTAGCCCAACTGTCCTGTGAGGAATTTTCACTATGGGCGACACCCCTGGGCAACATGCCCATGCCTTTGATCCTGGCACTCAGGAGATAGAAGCAGGTGGATCTCTGTGAGTTCAAGGCCAGCCTGGTCCACAGAGTGAGTTCCAGGAGAGCTGGGGTCACAGAGAAATCATGTCTCAAAACAAACAAACAAAAACAACAAAAAACCAGAGGGAGAGAACAGAGGCAGAAAGAGCAGGCTAAGCGAGCCACGGAGAATGAGCAGCTTCCCTTCCGACATCTGCTTCCCTTCCCGTCCTGACTTCTCTTGGTGATGCTATCTGGAAGTGTAAAATCAAAGAAACCTTCCCTAGGTTGCTTTTGATCACAGTGTTTTATCACTTGAATAGAAACTTAAGACGGCTTTCCTTTTTTAAAAAAAAAAAAAATAGGTAAAGAGATCACTGAGCGGTTAAGAGGTTCAGTGGCCACTCTTGCAGAGGACCGAGTTTTGGTTCCCAGCACCCACATGACAGCTCACAACCATCGGTAGTTCCCAGTTCCTGGAGACCCAATGCCCTCTTCTGGCCTCTGTGGGCACTGAACACACACACATACAGGCAAAACACTCATACACAAAAGTCTTCTAATCATAAAAGTTAAAATTTTAGTTAAGTTTTTTTAAACCTCTATTGGGCAGTCCCCCTCTCAGCTAGGGCAGAGCACGAATCCTCCAGCAGCCCCACGGCATTGATTTGCACCCTCTTCTGGGAGCAGAGGCTGGGGATGAAGATCAGGCAGGGTCCGAGGGGTCCCTAAGCCTCCTGGAGTTCCAGGAACACACCTACAGCACCTCGCTGGCAGAGCACTACAGGCCAAACAACGATTCTTCTCCTTTAGATAGCGTCAAACCCTTTACCTGGCCACGAAAGACCATAGACCATGAACTTCTGCCTTGACCTCCACATCCCTAGTCTGCCAGCTTTTCCACTGGGCAGGGACTGAGCCAGGACATGGCAGAGAGAGGCAGCACTCTACCACGCTTGCGGCTTTCCTGGCTTTACATATCCTCGTCTCAGCAAAGGGCTCTCAACACAAGATGTGCTGTCCCGCTAGATGCCCCCAGAGTCTAGCACTGACCTGAGAGTGAGTGGTACTTCCCAAGAGCTCTGGGAGGGATAAGGGAACAGAACACTCAGCACCCATGAAGCTTTTGGTTTTGTTTCCTTGAGATAGAGCCTCACGATGCAGGACGAGCCAGGGTGGTCTCTACCTCAAGATCTCAACTAGCCTCAACACCGAACTCAGGAGTGCACGTTAACACCAACTTCTCACAGTCAGAACACGTGATTGTTCAGCAACTTCTCAAGACAGGGCAATCTCGTTACTAGATTATTGCGCTGTGTCAGAACCCAGGGCTTTCCGCACGGCAGGAAAGGGTTTTCCCACTCATTTTAACCTGCCCTCCTCGCCCCAAAAGGATGTATATTTTTATTATTTTTTTTAACTTTTTCTATTATTACTGTGTAAGGGGCAAGTGCGTGTTACAGCACACACGTAGGTATCAGGAGGGCGTCAAGGGGTTGGGTTCTCTTTTCATCTATCCCTAGGCTCTGGGGATGGAATTCACTTCGCTGGGCTTGTTCAGCAAGTGCGTTTACACGCTGAAGCACCAGCCCTTCAGCCATTGCTAGGGTGCACACCGCACAGCACAGCGTGGAGTCACTTACTCTCTTCTTTCTTGAGTTTCAGGGGATCAAACTCAGGTCTTGAGCCACCTTACTGAGCCACCCTGCCATTCCTATATTTTCAGAAGAAGTCTGTCACTATGCCGGCAGGTGGTGGCGGGCACTTGGGAGAAGAAGTAGGCACAACTCTGAGTCTGAGGTCACCCTGGTGTAAAGAGTCAACTCCAGAAAAGTCAGTGCTACACAGAGAAACCCTGTCTTGGGGGAAAAAAACAGAAATCTATCACTACATCATTCAAACACCACAAACTGGTCACCTAATAGACCCATAATTCAATAAGTCAGTCTGAGCCAGGCATGACCGCACATGTGGAGGCTGAAGCCGATGGTTTTAAGTATGAGGCTAGCATGAGCATGTGTACAGTGAGACCCTGCCTCAACAGCAATGGCCTGGAGATGCAGCTCAGGGATGAGTGTGCACTTAGCACAGACAAGGCCTGGGCTTCATCACCAACTTGGAACCCCTCCCCACCTGGAAAAAAGAAAACAAAAATAAGCCATAGACATTCAAGGGCCAGGGAAGCTAACCACGTAAGACAAAACGATGTGGGGACCCAGGCAAATCAGAGCTATCCATACATGGGAGCAAGCATCCCACCTCAGGGAAGCAGCCTTCACTTTATTAAGTATACAGTGTTCTGCTTCCATGCATGCTGGGAACTGAACTCAGGACCTCTAGAAGAGCAGCCAGTGTACTGAGCCATCTCTCCAGCCCCAGAAAATCATTTCTAGAAGTAAACATGATGTCAAAAATCTGGGTTGTTTATATTGAGGGAGGTAACCCAGACCCAGAAAGGCAAATATCATATGTACTCACTCATAAGTGGCTTTTAGACATAAAGCAAAGAAAACCAGCCTACAGTTCACAATCCCAAAGAACCTAGACAACGAGGACCCTTAGAGAGACAAACATGGATTTAATGTACATGGGGAGTAGAAAAAGACAAAATCTCCTGAGTAAATTGGGAGTGTGGGGTCATAGGAGAGGGTAGAAGGGGAGGGGAGAGGAAGGAAGGGAAATGGAAAAAAAAATATATACCACAAAAAGCGGGCAAATTTGGGGTTGTTGAGTGTGTTATGAGTTGTTACAAGTTTGTACAAGTGTGTACATGCCACACCATGTTTTGTGGTATGTACATGCTTATGAGTGTTGGCATGTGTGTGCATGTACATATACAAGTTTGTTTAAGTTTGTGCTTATGTTTGTGTATAGTGTATGTTTGTACAAATGTGTGCTTGTATGTGCATTCATATGAAGGTCAGAGGTCAACATGGATACCTTCATTAGTTTTTAAATTTTTTTTAAGATTTATTTATTTATTATGTATACAACATTCTACCTCCATGTATTCCCACACGCCAGAGGAGGGCACCAGATCTCAGTACAGATAGTTGTGAGCCACCATGTGGTTCCTGGGAATTGAACTCAGGACCTCTAGAAGAGCAGCCAATGCTCTTAACCTCTGAGCCATCTCTACAGCCCTTAGTTTTTAAATTTTTTTATATAGTTTTAATATAATCTACATAATATCTTTATATATGTAGATTTACATATATGTATATATATGTATATGTAGATATACATAATAATCTTTATGTATATTTTCACACATTTGATAAAGATGTCAAAGTTAGAAAAAATATGGACTGCTTCATGAACTTGTTCATCATCCATACACAAGGGCCATGCTAATCTCTTGTGTATTGTTCCAATCTCAGTAACGTGCTGCTGGAGCGAGCACAGTTCTATTCATCTTGGTGTTGTCTGCACATGTCTGCCTACCATGTGCATGTCCAGTGCCCATCAAAATCAGAAGAGGGCATCAGATCCCCAGGTCTGGAGTTAGAGACAGCTGTCAGGCACCAAGTGGGTACTGACAATGGAACCCAGGTCCTCTGTCATGCTCTTAACCACTAATCCGTCTCTGCAGCCCTTCCATGTCTACCACGGAACCTGTGCTAGACCTCACACAGTTACAGGCATGCACAGCTCCATGCAGACACCAAGGAATGAACTCCAGTGTTCATGCCCAAGCACTTTACTGACAGAGACACTGCTCCAAACCCTGGAAATCATTTGGTTTGTATGTCTGTCTGTGTTGCATGTGTTTATGTAGGTGTTTGTGCTGTGTGCACACATGGAGGCAACCAGGAGTCTCCCACATTCTCCACCGTATTTTATATTTATCCTTTGAGAGGACCCCTCCGTCACTAGCTCAGTGCTCACTGACAAGCTATACTAGCTCGTGACTAACTCTGGGGATCTGCCTGTCTCTGCTCTCGCTAGCACTACCACTACAGGTGTGCACCACCAACCTGAGTGTGGGCATGTGTGCACCAGCACAAGGGAGTAGAAGCCAGAGGAAGATGTCAGGTAGCCTGTCTATCACTTCACCCTTTTCTTCTTTTTGTTCTTTGAGACAGGGTTTCTCTGTATAGCCCTGGCTATCCTGGAACTCACTCTGTAGTGAGGCTGGCCTCGAACTCACAGAGATCTGCCTGCCTCTGCCTCCTGAGTGCTGGGATGAAAGGTATGTACCAGCACACCCAGCGAGATTTAAGTTAAAAATTTCTGAAAATTCTGAGTACCTAGTGTGCACACTGCCTAAATCTGACCGTAGCACATGAGACAGACAAAGACATGCAAAACACAAGTGTACAGGTGGTGGTGCACACCTGTAGTGCTAGCGAGAGCAGACAGGCAGATCCCCAGAGAGTCTGGTAACTGCCTCTCTCCACACTTCTTACCAGTTCTACACACCAGCCTACAGTCAGGGCCCGCTGCAGACTCTCGGCATCCTGTTTCCTTGGCTCCACCAGCTCCCGGAAGGCTTGGAGCACAGTCAAACCCCGATTGTACTTGCCTCCCACGGCATTGTACTCCAGGACCTGAGGGGGTAGAGAGGACAGCATGGCCACAGAGATGTTTCCTTTCCTCCTCCCTTTTTTATCCCAACCCCGCCTTGGAGAGCTCCTTCTCCAGAGTCCTGTGGCGTATGGCACCATTCCCCAGGACCCACGTACCTGGTGCAGATGAATACGCAATTTTTCACCCGAAGCCAGGACTTAGAGCACCTCCACACAAGCCTGTATTGAAGACGAGGCCCCTAGTAGGAAGGGACCGCTAATTCCTATAATCGCAATACTCTGAAGTTGGATGCAGGCAGGCTGTGTGAGTTTAAGGCTGACATCAAGATATAGAGTTCAGCCAGCCTTGGCTACAGAAAAACAGAATGGCCTCTCCATTTGGCCAAACCTGGAGGGGATGGCAAGGTTCACAGCTATTTCTGTCTTTCTTTTTTTAACATGCACTGGTATTTTGCTTGCATGTGTGTCTGTGTGAGACTGTGAGATTTTAGAGTTACAGATAACTGTGAGCTGCCAAGTGGGTGCTGGGAATTGAACCCGGGTCCTCCAGAAGTGCTGTCAGTGCTCTTAGCCATCTCTCCAGCTCCAGAGCTATGTCTAAGCCAAAGGCATGTCCTCCCACTGTGCCTTCTGCCATGCAACAAAAGTACCTAACTAGAGACATCTCTTTAATACCTACACAGTAGAGACAAAGAAACCACTCTCCTTGTTTTTTCCTCAAAGATAGGACAGAAACAACATTTATAAAAAGAACTCCAGACCTAGGCACGACAGCACTCTAGAAGATACAGCACACAGGCAGGGGAGTTGTGAGTTTTGAGGCCACCAAGACTAAATACTAAAGCTGCCTTAGAAAGAGCAATCCAAGAGGCTAAAGAGGGAACTCGGCACCCAAGGGCAACTGCAACAGTTGGGCCTCTCCTGAAGACAGGGCTCTATGATAACCGCAGCTTTCCTCGGGCCTCAGGAGCAGCTGCTTAAGACCAATCTTAGGGGGGCTGGAGAGATGGCTCAGAGGTTAAGAGCATTGCCTGCTCTTCCAAAGGTCCTGAGTTCAATTCCCAGCAACCACATGGTGGCTCACAACCATCTGTAATGGGGTCTGGTGCCCTCTTCTGGCCTGCAGGCATACACACAGACAGAATATTGTATACATAATAAATAGATAAACATTAAAAAAAAAAAAAAAGACCAATCTTAGAATTTCAGGGCACAAAATCAAAGGCTTCCCGAGGTCCAAGGCTCCACTCCCAAAGCTTCCAACTTCTGCAGAGGACCCACCTACTCCAGAGGAGACTCAGGGAAAAGCTGTTCCTTCCACTCTTACCAAAAGCCATGCAAAATCCACACCTCTACTGGCTTCTTCCCCCCTGAATCCCTCACCTCCTTGAGCCGGGCAATGGCATCGCCTGTCTCAGGGTGGCCTAGCTCGTCCTCAGTCAGCACCTTGACAATCTGGGAGAAGTGCTGGACGAAATCCTGCCAGTCTTGGTTACAAGCCTCCAATTTCTGGTTCCCATTCATTCTGAGAGAGGTACAAAATGCTCTGAGGGGGGAAAAAAAAACACATACACAAATGAGAAATCTGCTTGGGCGCTTCCCTCCCCTAGGCCCCAAACCCCAACCACACTCACCGAGGCTCCTATGTCCACACTTGGCACCACCAGCGGGCACTGTGCCAGGCCCCCAGGACTGGACACCTATATGCCAGGGAGGGTCGTTGTTCGGAACCAAGACACCTCTCCCGGGGTGCCCAGCAGGGGGCCGGCAGCAGGAAGACCCCCGCAGATCTCAGCCAACGGGACAAGGGCATCGTGGGTGGGCATGGGGGCGGGGGCCACCAAGCACTCCCTGCAGGAGTAAGCACCAAAGGTAGACGCTTGGAAGCAGTTACCTCTGGTATCCCCACCCCAAACCAAGCCTTTTGCCTCCTACATCAGAATGCCCGACCCTGTTTCTGCTTGAATTTAAGAATTACAGAAAGGACACACAGGAAATAAAAATGTATGTCGGGGTGACTGAGATCCAACAGATATTCACTTCAACTGAAATGGCTAAAACAGAACGCTTTCTACTTTCCAAGGCTGGAAAGACGGCACCGAGAATTAGGGGATGAAAGATCGGTAAGTCACACTATTAATGGAGAAGCCAAGCTGAATTTCTGGGGGTAGTTGAGCCAACGCAGAGCATCCGAGGGGTCCGCGTGCAGGGAGGCTCAGGCTCTGCGCTACGCCTAAGAAGGGGACAGGAAGCGCTGGTGCGGCGGGCGTGTGGTCTGCCTGCCTACGATCAACAGGTGGGCGTGGGAGGGCTCAGCAGGAGAAACCCGCGGCCGCCGCACCGAGGACTTGGGAACACACCAGTCAGAGTTTAGAAACTGAAGAAAGCCCGAGAGCCGCTCTGTCCGACCCACCGACCGAAGACCGGCAACTCCTACACAGCCTGGCCCTTCGGCGCCTCGCAGCTTCCACCAGGTCTGAGGCAGAAGCAAGAGTCGACTCCAGCCCGAACAACAGCTCTCACCTGCTCCTTAACGCGACTTCTCCCGGGTCCGAGGTGTTTGCAGCTCACACCTAAAAGTGGAGCGCGCTACACGCTCAGAACTCTGGGGCCTGTAGTTCCCTGTCTGTCGTCTCGGTAGGTAAACCCTAAATATTAAACTACAACTCCCGGCATGCAGCGGACCAGACCGCGGAAACTGCAAGCGTGTCACGCTGGGCGGGCGTAGCCGGGCTCGCTGATTGGCTGAATGACCTCGTGTGAGCATGGGCCTTGTGATGGCTGACCAATGAGAGGGAGGCGCGCAGACCATCAGCCCACTGAGAGGTGGGTGGTGTTAGGCAACAATACACCTAGACCAAGAGTCTGGGAATTCGGACCCGTGGTTACTGATTGTCACTCTTCCAGTGCATCTGGTTGACATTATTAGTAAGACCCCGGAATAACCAGCCTTGCAGCTTCCTATTCGTAAGTCAGGCAAATCATTTCTTGCATCTCTGACTCCACCTCATTTCTTCAGCTCTTAGAAGGCTGAAGTTCGAAGCCAGTTTGTGTCATACAGTTTTAGGCTACTCTGAAGACTATATGACTATGAGAGAAAAAACAAAAAGCCTTCATCCTAGGGCTGGAGATGTCTTAGCCATTAAGAACACCAGCTACTCTTTCCCAGGGTGTGGGTTTAATTTCCACCACTTACAGGACAGCTCACTATAGTCTGTAACCTCAGTTCCAGTAGGGCTGATGCCCTCACACAGACACATGCAGGCAAAGCACCAATGCAACTGAAATATAATTTTTTTTAAAAAACACACCCTCTCCCGCAGGTGTCTTTTGGCTCCCTTGCAGAAAAAAAAATGATAAAAACCCAAAACAGAAATTCCAACCGTTTCCCAGAATTTGCTAGCTTACCAGGTTGATTGCTAGCTCTGTATTTCCTCCCAAACTGCCAAGTATTTTCTGACCGACAAACCTCTCCACCAACGCAATAATCCCAATCAGACCAAATTAGACTGAATTAGAAGATGCCCAGGTGTAATGGACCCCAGCACTCCCGGGTTGGCCCCTGGAAACCATGGAAAAGGGGAAAGGAGAGCCAGAACGACCACTTGAGAGGAGAAACGGAGGACCATGTGTTCATTTGTTTGCTGGGCAGTTTAAATAGCCTGTGGGAGTGGTCTGGAGCCGCCCTGGGGAGGGGTCACCATTTGACGGCTTTCTCAGAGGTGGAGTTTGGACTGAGGCAACTCCTAGAGGGAGGGGCTTGAATGGAACTTTCAACCCAACATTCCAAAATGGGTGCCAGGGGCTGGGGTGAAGCCAAAAACATTCCAGTTTGGATAAAGGGGTGTTGGCTCAAGCCTGGCTGCTTCCTGCGGGCATGGGGCAACATGGGAGAGGAGAGAGTAGAAGTTGGTGGGCTCAGCTCAGTGAGAGGTGTGGCTGGAGAGGTATCTGGTTTACTGACATCCTGGAGACCTCACAGCTGTTCCTTAGGGAGATGAGAAGGCAGGTGGCTAGGAGAAAAAATATATTGTTGTTATCGGCCCTATGAATGGGGCTAGCCATGGGAAGGGGCATAGAGAAGCACTCTGGTTGTCCAGGAGAGGCTCAGGTGAATAAGTGACACCCCAGAGCAGATATGTCCTTTAAAACCAGATTTTAGTTGGTTGGTGTCCTTTTGAGCCAGGAGAGTTGGTACCAAAGGTGAAGTCCCAGGAACTGATGCAGCACTAACTGTAAGTTGGTCTTGGCCCAGACAGCAGGAGTGACCTGTAAGATATGCTTGAAAACCGGTGGGACTGAAACAGGCTCTGGAGACTGTTAGTTTTTACCAGACCAGATTTCTTGATACAGCAGCAGAACTTTTCCCAGGAACCTGCAGGTATCTGTAAGACAACTGGAAGAGGAACAATTTAGAAGTCAGTTAAAGGGAACTGGGAACCCTGGGTCTCTGAAGATACACCCCAAACCTGCTAATCCTGGACTGTGAAGAGGCACACATGACTGTATTTTTAGCAGGAAACTTAACAAATGAAGTAATGAGTTACTGGTACCTTAAGCCATCAAATGCCATTAGACAGATCTGAGAGGGATAAATGAGCAGAAATGAGACAGATTTTTTTACCTATGCAGGCAATCCCAAGTCTCTCCATAGTCTTTGGAGAACGTTGTTAGCTTTAGAAGCAGTACATGCCATTAGCTGTTGAGTCATGGAGGCCCAAAGATTTTCCTGTGTGGGGAGAGGAGATCTAGTCTACCTGTGTTGGCAGAATGAGAAGACTGATTCCCCAGTATAATGTCCAGGAAGCTGATGAGGTGGAAGCCTGCTTTTTGTGGTGTGGGTGGCTTTGCCATACCCAAAGGCAAGGCTTGAGGCATGCTATAACTAACCATGCATCTTCTTGGAGGAGCTAAAGGATGCAGCAGGAGCTGGCATGTCTGTGTTCAAAGCTCTTTTGTTAAATGCCATACTCTCCAATCGGCAAAGGCACTTGATTGTTATATTCAAATTAGACATATAAGTTAAATTTAGGCATGTATTTTACCTAATTAGTTACAGCTTACCAATGCTAGTAAATGTAAGAAGATTAAAAGGAATATTTTAATAAGTCAAAGAAAGCTAGCACATGTGGATACTCTAATCCAAGATAGCGCTGAGGTCAAAACGGCAGCTACCCCTGTGTTTGTATCTTTTTAGAGCTGTTGTAACCTGGACACGCACACACATACACACAGAGAAATAAGACAAACAACTATGGAAACAAACACACATACACACATAGACATAAAAGTATACTGTGGGAACACACACACATATACACAGAGACATAAAACAAGCCTTCTGTGGCCACATTATTTTAACAGACAGACAAACAAATTTTTTTTTTAGGAACCTGTGTCAGTTGACCAACTTAAAAATCCTGGTGTAGGCAGGCGGCATTAATGACCCCATTAAGGACCAGATTAGCAGACACTGTAAGAGGGAACAGTAACATCAGGACAGAAAACCTATACAGTTTTAGAGTGGAAGGACGGGGGGGGGGGGGGG